ATAAAAGGCTGACCCAAAAAAATCAATAAATGATGGAACTTTAGAAAGATTAAGAGATGATGGATAATGAGAAAATATATTAATAAAATGGGAAAATACCATAACCCAAATAGCTTCAATATTCCATATCTGTGGGATTGCTAATAACACGAATTATTAACAATATTCAATCCATCACGGGAGTGTATCTCAAAGTCTCCACCATTTCGAATCCTTAGTATTTTAAATTCACAATATATTTTAACACAGTATTAATAATACAGTTAAATTACCTAATCTTAAATTACTTTCTACTAATATGAACCTATTTGGGTTATGGTATTTTCCCATTTTATTAATATATTTTCTCATTATCCATCATCTTATAATCTTTCTAAAGTTCCATCATTTATTGATTTTTTTAGGTCAGCCTTTTATCTGTCTGTCTTGGAATCTTGTATCTCTTTTTGATTTTTTTGTGTCTACTAAACTTTCCCTCCTGGGTGTCTTTTATCCATTTTGTTTGTATTATTTGAACAACCATCCACAGGGCATTGTTTTGTTTTGTTTTAAAGATCTTTTTTTCTCTGTACCATATAGCTGATTCTATATTGAATTTATGGCATAAAGAGGACAAGTTTTTTTCTACACATTGTCTGGCCTTGGAAAAGTGTTCAGAGTTTATTTTTGATTATTGCTGTTGACAAAGATTAATAAATTGAAATGTAACAAATTGTCTCTTTGGAAATGCAATCATTGTAACAGAGATATTATTCTCCCTTGAAGTTTATTACAACAGAACTTCTTGCATATCTTGTCCTTGATCTTTGCTGTAAAGGAGATCAATGAAAATCCTCAGATCTTGCCCAACATCACTCTGGGCTTTGGGATATCCAATAGCTATTTCATGGCAACCTGGACCTACCTGGCTTCTATGGAGCTTCTTTCTTCACATGACAGATTTGTTCCTAACTATAAATGTACCATCCATCAAAACTCAGTTTGTGTTATTGCTGGACCCAACTCTCATAACTCTCAGGTTATGGCTGACATTCTGAGCATTTACAAGATTCCACAGGTAAAACCTGGTTAAGGTAAAAGCAAAAATTCTATTGAAATGTGAGTTCCTCTTTACAGAAGCTTTCTGGATTGGTTGTAAACCAATGTTAATTGGAACATTAATAACATCTGGCTTAACAACACTTCAATATTTTGCAGTCCTGATTTACTGAAAATTGTGCTGAGTTTGAGGATCATGTGTCCATTTCTTTTAAAAAAGGAAACAAGATGAATCCTTTTTGTCTTCAAGGAGACTTTTTTTTCAATTTGAACTATATCTCTGTTGATTTCATGAAACTTCCAAACCAGTTAAGGTTATAACAAAACTAATTTTGACAAGAAATCGAAAGATGTTATATATCCAGGAAACTATAATAAGAGTAACACATTTGATTTTACATATCCTAACAGCAGCTAGAATTGTATACACACAATGTTGGAAAAACCCAGAAACTCCTACAGATAATATTAAAATGAAATATGTGTGTGTGTGTGTGTGTGTATGTGTGTATACATATACATATACATATACATATACATATACATATACATATACATATACATATACATACATACATACATATTTCATTTTAATATTATCT